TTTCTTTAAATCAACACTGCACTGCATTATATATTGTCAATATGTAAAATAAATTTCAAAATGACCAATAATTTGCTTGCAAACACAGAAAAATAGCATTTAGTTGAAGAGAGTCTCAAGCAAGATGTTACCTCCACTGAAAAGACACAAAGACTGACGCCTGTATGGTGTGTTGAGAGGCTGGATGGCGAGCATAAAACTAGTTTCATTACCTTCAGTTATGTTCAATAATTGTTAAAATTACTAAAAAATTTAATATTAAACTTTTAAAATTATTGAATAGTATAAACTTGTTGATATTTGCTAAAATGGTAAGGAATTTAAGCCCTAGAACCGATTACTGTATTGGCGGACTAATACTACAGCTGGTGGACTGCCAAATGCAAGCGAAAACCTGTTCTGGTCTGCTCGTAAGAAACTCATTAATCGAGGGATTGCTCGTTAACCGAAGTTAAGAATCTTATGGAAGGTAACACGTTAACCGAGGGACCACTGTACATTTGAGTACAGTACAGGTTTACCTTTAGGACAATTATTTATTTTAGCTTTTTTCACATTACAGTATGTATTTAGGATGTTGTGTGCAGTAAATGAGTAAAAATAAATGAAGAAAGTTACGTATATCTACCCGAAAATATGAGTTGAAAAACTTGTACAGTACTGTACTCAAATGTACTACATGAAGGACTAAAATTTTTGTTTTGTGCAAGTTATATTCTGCTAAATTTAGTCAGTGACATTTTATAAGATAAAAATTTTAAGTCTAAAACTACCTTCACCCAGGCTGGGAGGGAGGGAAGTTAAGTGCCCTCTCATAATTTTGTCCGGACTAAAGGTGCTGGACCATCAGTTCCCGGGAAATGGATGGTTATAATTTGCAAAAAATTTCTTTTTGCAGCATCAGATTTGCGTTCCAGTCAATTTATGACTTCACTAATGCTGTACTAAAGTTGTACAAGGGCTGGAGTTGCCAGCGTCTCATGTAGGTTGTTGAAATATGCCTCCTCCCCTCCTCCTGCTTTGTCTTTAGAAGCTCTTGGAAGATCTATGTTTGTCTTTGATACCCCCAAAATGTTCTACACTACGGAGGGTATACGCAAACACTTGTTATCTTGAAAATAGGTTCTTATTCTCGTATGGGAGACAAATACAGAGGAACAAAGCTGGCTTCCACACCATAAGGACTAGTGATATCAACTCCCTGTATCACTCCGCGCTGGCATGTACAGATGCCAGCATTCACAAGTTGAATACATAATATGTAAATATGATAATTCACACACATAACATGGTGCATAATAAATGGAAATATTACATAGGATTAATACAGAGAACCCTCACTTTACGCAGTTAATTCAACTCACGGCGGCCCGCGTAAAGTGAGAAACGTGAAAGTGAACAACATAACATATGGGATTAATTGAAATAGAGACCGGGGCGACCCCCAAACTCCACTTTTCCCGACACAATACGTACGTTTTACTAAAAATAACATCTTAACTTTATGATGGTATTCACCCACACATAATATAGAAGGAAACAATCAATAAACTGAAGGTTAGGTTAGAAAAAAACAAGGTTGGGGTTAACACTTACGTTAGTAGAAGAGATGGGTCAGCGTACGGGAATGGAGGCTGGTTCCGAGGCAGAGGGCAGGCTACTGGCCCTCAGGTGAGTCACCATCACTGTCATCCACACTTGTCAGGGCCTCCCTGACAAATCCCTCAAAGTCAACATCACTGTCTCTACCTCTGTCACTATCACTGGCTTGGGCTGGCTGTGGTGGGTTGCGGGTGAAGAGCTCTGTTATGCTTTGCTGACGGCTGGTGTTTATGTTGCCGTGATAAACCTTGATGTAGGGCTCCATAGTCTGCAACAGCTGGGTAGTGAAGATTTCATACCTGTTTGCGTCAGGGTCTTCGGAAAGGAGGAGCTTGGCTTTCTCGATACACTCGATGGCACCCCTAACATTACTATGGGATAAGCGGTGTTCTTCTTGGGATGACGCACCACCTGCCTCTTCACTGACTTCATCATCATCTACCATGTCGTCGGTAGTCACATCAGGATCCCTCATCACCTCCAGGATGTCGTCGTTGGTGGTCTCGGAGAAGCCTGCAGCTGTAACACTCTGCGCAGCTTCTTTGGCAAGGTCCACTGCTGCTGCAACAGTCTGAACCTCACCAGTCACAGATTGACTCTGCCTAACGCCCGGAATGCCTTGCAACACATGTCTCCATGTTTGACGAACAGTTGCTACAGACAGCTGATCCCATGCCTCCACCAAGAAGTCCACAGCTTTCTTGACGTTGAATATTCTCCAGAATTTTTTAAAAGTACTTCTTGCTCTGCCAACTGTTGATCCTCGTCTTCGCTCTTGCTATCGGTGGTGGTGTCACTCAGGTTACGCAACTCTTCCCTGGTGTTGGCGTAGTCGTTCAGGAGCGTGAATTTTTTAGTAGAGAATGCAGCTTTTACATTACAGATTAACTCTTGGTCCATGGGCTGTAATATAGACGTAGTGTTGGGAGGAAGGAAGACCACTTTTACGTTGGGGTGACGATCTAACAGTAGGGGCAAGTGTCCTGGTGCGTTGTCCAGCAGCAACAAAATCTTGAATGGCACAGTCTGTTGCTCACAGAATTTCTTCACATCGGGAACGAAACAGTCATCAAACCAGGAGAGGGACAGTGTAGAGAACATCCACGCCTTACGTGCAATCAGCCAGTGGACATTTAGCTTGGTCATGTCCATGCTCTTGTAGGCATGCGGCTTGCGTGCTGTGTGGATCACCGATAACTTGAGCTTACAGGTACCGGAGGCATTGGTGGTAAACAGGACAGTGATGCGCTCCTTCTGCAACTTCCGGCCCCGACACTTGCTGGCATTCTTCACAACGAAGGTCTTGGAAGGTAGTTTTTTCCAAAAAAGATCAGATTCGTCCATGTTAAACACCTGGTCGTTGGTGTACTGTCCTTCCTCCATAATCTCACGTAAAAATGGAGGAAATTCCCTAGCCGCAACACGGTCAGCACTAGCTTCTTCACCACCAATGTTGATATTGATGATCTTGTTTCTCTTCTTAAACCTCTGTAACCACCCAGAGGAAGCATTAAAGGGTTTGGGCTCTGTAATTCCCATCTTTCGTGACACTGCAGCATACAGTTCACGTGCGTACTCCTTAACTGAGCGCGTGTCGACCGCCATGTTCCGTCGCGCCTGGCGCACCAAGTAGCTCACAAGTTATTTTTCTGTCTTGAGAAGCACCTGGTTGTGGAAATACTTGATCATAGAAGCACCTGTAGACTTTGTGATCTTCATGTGCTCCTTTATCTTGGCTGCATCCTTCTTTATTGTTCGAATCGTAGATTCGTTCACACCATGCTGGCGCGCCAAGTCAACCTGTCTTGTTCCTTTCTCCAACTCTTGGATGATCTTGTACTTCACCTCGTAGCTTAAGGAACGTCATGTCTTCTTTGTCTTAGGGCGGCTGGGTCCAGGTAAGGAAAGGTTTCTCTCTGGGGGCGGTGGTCCGGCGGAAGCCATTTTACAGAACAATGGATGCACGTGTACACGGTGTGGCCTGGAGGGATGAAACTGCCGTGGCTAGGTCAAGCGTCGTCTTTCCTCCCTCCCTCCCGCGGGTGGACACGTCATATTACTTTAAACCAATCACAGCTAGCAGCGGAGGGAGGTAAGGATGCATGGCCCAATCACAGTCCGATACTTCATATGGCGTCACTGATAACGCAACAAAGACACACACTGCGCAACCTACTCGCGCCGCTTACACAACATAGCGGATGGTGGGAGGTTTGGATCCAAAAATGGCGCGGCGTGAGAGGACCGCCAGCCGCTCTCCGCGTAAAGGGGTACACGCACCGCGGAAAGTGAGCATTCCCGTTTCGGCAGGGTACCGCGTAAATGTGGAAACGCTTAATGTGGGACCGCGTAAAGCGAGGGTTGACTGTACATGTTCTGTAATACTTTACTACAGTGGGGTATGCTATAACGAACGTAATTGGTTCCAGAACCTCGTTCGTTATAGCATTCGTTCGTTATAGGATTAATCCGTTCCAGGCCCCCAAATACAACCGCTTAACACTGAAAAAATTCTGTGGAAAATGTAAAAAATACGGTACTTTATCTTACCTTAGTGTTATTCAGCATGCAGGTACCCCTAAACACTGGCACATCACTATCACTTCCACTGGGAGTCTTGGCTTTAAGGTCCTCAAACAATTGTTTAGCCTTCTCACAAATTATAGCTTCACTAATGTTACCACCTGCCATTTCTTTCTCCTTTATCCACACTAAGAGTAAATTTTCCATCTCTTCAATCACATTACACCTTGCTTTGCTAAGTCTAAAGATTCCCTTAGCCACTTGCACAGTTTTTAACTCCTCTTTATTCTTCAAAATCGTACATATAGTCGATTTAGCCATCCCATATTCATCACTAAGTTTCGCAATGCTTCTTCCATTCTCACGTTTCTTTATAATTTCTTTCTTAGTTTCAAGGGTTATTAGCTTTCTCACTCGCTTTGGACGACTCATTGTTACAATTGTATACTTGTATAACAAAATAGTTATACAAATAACGCGAATTTCCACATCAAAAGACGAAATTTCAACAATAACAGTGGTGCACTGGCTACACAATGAGACAAAGATGGCGCCTGACGCTCTTGTTGTGGGTCGCGGTACAACAATATTCATGCGCCAGGCGAAATAGTCTGGTATTCATCCGCGTTCGTAGTAGGAGTTGCGTTCGTTATAGCATTCTCAATTTTATAGGTAAAACCGTTCGTTATAGGAATATTCGTAGTAGGATCCGTTCGTTATAGCATACCCCACTGTATACATAATTAATAGAGTATTATAAGAATACACAGCTTGAGGTACTACTTCGTGTCCATATTATACAGAAGATTTATTTATTTTTATTGTAAGAACAGTATTTGACTTTTGTAATAATTAAATGTTTTTTTCCAGGCTACCCAGAGCTGCTGTTTGCCAATCGCAAAGATATTCGCATAATAGAAGTTGGGAAAGAGAGGCAGTCACGCCAAGTTATTGTGAAGGTTTGTACTAGTAGTTCTTCATGTATTCATCATGTGGTGAGAACGGGTGTCAAAAGGACTTTAAAGAGAAAAAATGTATTTTGGAGGGCAGTGAATAAGGTGAAAAGTCCAAGAGGATAAATGTTAATGGTAATTAAAAGTGGGGATATGTTCTGGAAAAGAAAGAAGTGACATTGAGGTGTAAGAATATTTTGAACAACCAATGAGTAACTCATAAGATAGAGGCACAGGTAACTTGTTTGGGATGAGGAGCAATGGAAATTTCGAAGTTGAAAGAGGCAAATTGATAAGGAAGAGATGAAACAGTCTGTAAGCAAGCATAGGAGGGGTAAGGTGTCTGGTGAAGTGAAATTGATGATTATATTGGCCATGCAGGACAAGGAAGATTACCAGAGGGAGGCAGGATGTGTGTACAGTAATTACCGTGTACAAAGGGAAGATGATAAAGAGTAAATACTAGATAGCATTAAGACACTTCCTGGGTTACAGATGGTTCCATTTCTGGAGGATGTACTGTAGGTAAGCCAAATTATCTGTAAATCAGGAGTGACCCTTCTATAGGTGATTTTTTAATGCACACAGTACAGTACTTTACTCATAATGTACCGTATACAGTACGTATACTATTACTACTGTATACTTACATATTGTGCTGTACAGGTACAGTAATTCCATTTCCCTTGAATCTTGATGCTGATTTGCTCATCCACGCTGTAAGTTAGTTTCCCATACGTACCGTTGGGGTAGTGAGATCAAGATCACGTGAGTGTGTAGCGATAGTTTTTCCACCAAGCTGCTTATGGTAATGGGTATATCATAGTGGTACGCGTCCTCTCATCAGAAATCTGCGCTAAAATACCCATTAACATGTGTTAAATTTGCTATATTGTACTGGACTTGCCAGACCTTTACTCCTGATTGATTTTGAGTAACCAACTTAACCTTCCAAAAATGACACACAATGTCACATAAACTGCATCTACATTATTAAATAAATATTTTGAGAACGTCCAGGAAGTTTATGCAATACTCCTTTGTCTCCACCGAATACAGTGGTCCCTCGGTTAACGAACACAATTCGTTCCAGAAGGTCGTTCGTTAACAGAAAATTTAGTTAACCGAATCCATTGTTTCAATGGGATATTGGGTAATTAGTTCCAGCTCACTGAAAAGTACATGCACAGTAAAAAAAAATGCAGTAAAGTACACTTACTTTGAGGTGTGTATGTAGAAGGCTCCTGGTTGATGGTGATGGGAATTAAAAGTGGGGTTGGAGGAGAAGGGAGAAGAGAAGGAAGTGGGGATGGAGTAGAAATCACCTTCCAGGGGACCCATGCTTGATGCTGTCCTTTCACCAATAAAATTTTAAGTTCACTAGGTGCAATTCAAGATTATTTTCTTTAAATCAACACTGCACTGCACTATATATTATCAATATGTTAAATAAATTTCAGAATGACCAATAATTGTACTGTAAAAACGTAAAAATACTCTTGTGTTCAAGAGACCCACAAGCAAGATGTTTCCTCCACTGAACAGACACAAACAGATGCCTTGGTGGGTGAGTGAAGTGGTTGATGGGTGCACCAAAAACTAGTTCCCTGTAGTACTGCAATTATGTTAAATAAATGTTAAAATGACTAATAATTTTACAGTAGAAGTCCAAAAATCCGGACTGCTTGGGGATTGGGTTGGTCCGGATTTTCGGATTTTCCGGATTCTCAGGCAGTACTTTTAAAATTAAAATTTAAGGAGGAATAAAGAAGAGATGAACAGGTACATTTTGATAGTTTATTCATTAGCAAATAAAGCATGCTTCATTTTTCAAAACGAGCAGTTTTAAAGAAAAATAAAGTCAACACTAGACAAAAATGTAAACAAACTGTCTAATACCATGACGAGTCTTGAAATTCCTAAGCCATCCATCACTAAATGTGCACTCTGATTCAATGTTCATTTGCTCCTTAAAAGACTTTGCTTTGGCAATAAGCATCGGCCCAGAAATTGCCATACCTTCTGATCGTTTTAACAAAAACCATTCGTGCAACACTTTATCAAGATTTTTTAATTTGGGCCAATGTAAACTTTTTCTTTCAGCAATTTTAATGTAAGGCTCAGAAGAAGCTGTGAATTCTAGAATTTTATTCTTTGCCTCTTTTATATCATAAATTGTAGACTTTCCAATGTATGTTTCCATTAAAACAGCATTGCTCACATTACATTCTAATTTCTTAATTATTTCAAGTTTGTCACTCAATTTCAATGTGTTCTTCTTTCTCTTCACACAACGAAGTTTATCTACTTTAGGGGCCATTATTATGGGCTTGTACTCTGTACATGGAAAGAGTAGGACTCAAAATTACATACGTTGTCACAGTTTGATTGCTTGTTTTAAAGTGGCGATCGTGTGGTCGTTTGTTGTCGCTGTGCAGCTGTGGCGTTCACACATGCACACATACACACAAAAGATTTATAGTGCCTCAAATTTTACATTTCAGTTCAAGCTAATTACAAAACTAACAAAATTAGCTACCTATAATTTACAATTACTTTTATTATTAGAATTATGTAAATTAATTTTTTAAAGCAACTCCATTCATTCACATAACCCACAAAAGCCCGCTAAATTTAAAAAGTTTGAGTTTTCGAAAAGTCCGGATTCTCGGGGGGTCCGGATTCCTGGCATCCGGATTTTTGGACTTTTACTGTAATATAAAACTTGGAAAAATATTGAATAGCACAACCTTCTTGATATTTACTCCAATGGAAACGAATGTAAGCCTAGAACCGATTACTGTATTGGTGGACTAACCTACCAGCCAGTGAGCAAGCTAAAACATGTTGACATGCTTTCGTAAGAATTTCGTTAATCGAATTTTTGTTCGTTAACCAAATTGAAGATTCTTATGGAAAGTAATTCGTTAACCGAAATTTCGTTAACTGAACCATTCGTTAACCGAGGGACCACTGTATTGTGTTACTACATTAAGAGCAGTAACTCTAGGCCTAGTTGTTATAATAGACACGGTTAAATCAAAACTGTCTAATTTAAGTTATTTTATAATTATCAAATGTTGAAAACTTCAGCACTTTGTTTTTATTTCTTAATTGTCTTTAACTGTATTTGTTTTAGTTATAGTCTAACATCAGTGATGAGAAAATTCAACTGTGGGAGGGCCGAGGGGGCACCATTGTTGGGCTGTGCTTAGGGCATCAATTGGCCTTAATCCGGCCCTGCTTAACTCCCTTATGATAGTCCCGCTTCTCCTTTTCCTTATTTAGCTGCTTAGGTGGGTCTGTCCCACCCCCACCAGCACGACCCCCCAGTAGAGGTAGAGTCCATTATCTTGACTTGACAGGTGGTAGCACCACCCAGAAAAGCACATAATAGCAGCCCGGGCAGTCGCTAGGATGGCACGGGCTACAACGCGATAGTTGCGTTCTTGTAAACCTCTTTACGTTCACCACCGGCAATTCGATCACCAGAACGCTTTTTGGAAACATTCTTCTTACCTTGTCTTTCCGTATTCATTGCAAACACAACAAAATTGGAGAAAACAGTGAAAATCACGGAGCAATCGACAGAAACCGTGTGATTCAACTGATAACGAGTTGTAAACAGAGAGCGCTGGTGTAAACCATTATTAGTCCTCACGACAAAACATTCTTTTTACTTATTCTTTTCATACAGTATTTATGGGTAACAGCTAAATTTGAAAAAAGCAAAAAAAATTTAGAGAGTACCTCTCAAAAAACACTTCACAAACAAAAGACACGAATCAGTTGAACATGTGATGTCGAACGTGAACTGTAAACATTGAAGATGGAATCAAAACATTGAGGATGGAATCGTGTTATAGCCAACATTCGTATGCAAAAGTTTGCATTTTACAAACAGCGTTCCCCTATTCATCAATCGCGTCACAACCAGTTTGCGATGACAAAACACAAGTTGTAGCAGAAATGACTGTAACTGGTATGAGGGCTGTGACGTCATTCAAGACGGTGGCCAGCATTCAGCTGGCTGGATCTCACGAAATTCACGATATTTTACGTCAAATATATGACTTGGTTACATTAGGTAGCGCTTGCGAAATGAAATCACACGAAATATGAGATCTTACTGTACCTAGAAAATCTAGACAAATATGAGAAAATGTGTAAAGGGTTGAAAATTTTGAAAGGGTAGAAGGGGGTTATGGGGCTAGAATTGATATACATATGGTCCTTGATTGATGACAGGAATATCATAACAATCGACCAAAATTAAAAGCAACTACACGAAAAATCTATACATGTGAACTGATATAGCGACTAAGTGCCCAAAAAATGGTTACCATCTTAATATGTTGGCTATCTTGCCATTAAGATATAAAGTGTTGTTCCATTTCACTCACAGTGTGCTTGGATCTGCCTCTGAAAGGCTCCATCTTCACACATTCGAGTATGTGGCCATATGTCTGGCCACACACTTTACATTTAGTCTTGTTCACATCTGCTTGAGGGATATTCAGTACCGAAAGAGGCACTTATACCCTAACCTTAGTCTAGCGGTTACAATGTCTTGTAATCGAGTGGTCTTGTTACTTGCTCCATATACAGTACATGTTTCCCTCGTTACATCTTGATAGATAGATAGAGCTAGACATAAAAAATGATGTACTATGGAGAGAGACAGTCTGTCAACAAGGAAGAAACCTTTAACTTTGACCTGTGTCACCACTTGGACTTACCCAACTTTAGTTAATTCCCAAGTGACCCACTGCCACATAGCAGCTAATCCATCAAACAGACCGTGCCAAACTTGGCCCGTAAACTCACACAAATTAAAATGTTTATATTTTGACTATTTATACTAATTTCACTGTTACGTTTTCGTAGATACTTACTGTTAGGTGATGAAACAGTAATTAATTGTGTGTGGAGATTATTTTTTTAATAAATATTGCATTACCATAAACTAGCTGTGTCTACCTGAACCTCGAGCCACATTAAATAGAATTTCATAATCACTCTGCGGGCTGCACTATGACATGGTTCGGGCCGCGGGTTGCCCATGCCTACTGTAGTGTACAGGTACTGTAGTTCATTATTATAGCACATTTTATCTCTTTTCCCTCATTTGGCAATTTCATCACTACTGTACACAGGACAAGAGACAGCAAACAGTTGGGAGAACCCCATGCTGCTTATCGCTTCCCCACCTCAGCTCTGTCGGCTACCTGTTGACCACGTAAAGTCTGTTTGTTCCCTTTAATGTTTTTGATCTTGTGATAATTTAATAATTTTTTTTTGCACATTCTGTATGAATGATTGTGTGTGCATGTAACAGTAAAAGAAAATTACGTACAGTATATCTAGCCAAAATTACGAGTTGAACAAAAACATAGCTCACGGCTCAGCCTCACCCACTCTTGAGTGTTGCTAGGTGGCGAGTCTGTCAGTCGGCGACTCAATCAGATACTGTATACGATTACATGCCATCTCCATGGATATTATTCCGCATTATTCCTTGTTTAAGATATTATTTCTCTTCTGTTCACTTAGCGATCTTTTTTCATGAATGCATCCCAATCGCTAAATGATGTACTTATTACTGGAAGAGAGGGGGTGAAGAGGAAAACCCACTAATAATACCCTGACATAGGTCCCTGACCCAAATTGCTTCTTATTTTGTAGGATGTTATGGATGCAGCATCTGTGGATTACTACTACAAGGGTCAGTTGGTTTGCTGGACAGACATTGATAATGAGCTCATCAAGTGTGTGGAAGTTAACAAGTCTGGCGGGGGATCAAACAATCACAGAGAGGTAAGGCTTTGGATTCTATTATTCAACTTATTCATGAAACACCAGAGATGCAAGATGTTTCCCCACTATACAATCCAGTTAATTAATTCAGTTAGCACATGTCTACTCAACCATCGATGCTATCATCCTGCTCAGTCATAAATTGTACTCATTTTCTATTTCTATAGCATGGACCAGGCCGAACTGGACCACAAAATGCCTACATACAGGGCTACAATATGTGAAAGTTACATTAAATAATATTTTGTACTTAATAAACTATACACAGCATTTTGTGGTCTGCTACATGCACCAGGGTGGTTGTGGACCAGGCACCAGGGCAAATATGGACCATCACATATTGTTGTTAGTTATCCTATTTATAATATCCTGTATGTTAAGCTATTTAAGTTAATTTAAATTTATTATACATCATATATGCTTACTAAGGCTAGGTAAGAAATAGCTAATGACTGAGCAGAGTTAGCTATTTACACTTCACCACACTGTTTCTGCATGGCTTTCATTGTTTTAGTGAACACTTTAAACTTTTTATATTCACATTCAAGGACTTTTGTACCCAATATAAAGGGAATAGTTCCTATTGCAGTTATTGGTCCACGGAATCTAATATTCTATAGGACTAGCCGTGTGTCTGACTGTCTGTTCTGGGCAGCCGAAACGGCGCAATCGTTTTTCATCAAACTTGGTGGAAAAATCGTAAAAAATTCATAGAGTGGAACATACCTGGTCCCATGTCGATGGTTTCTTTACGAAGGCGTTAATTAACCATTTTATTTATGATGGAAAACGATGCAAGTCTACGAACTTGGTGCACCCTAATTAACCATGCAAGTCTACGGATTTGGCGCACCCTAATTAACCATGCAAGTCTACAGACTTGGCGGACCCTAATTAACCATGCAAGTCTACGGACTTGGTGCACCCTAATTAACCATGTAAGTCTACGGACTTGGCGCACCCTAATTAACCATGCAAGTCTGTGGACTTGGCGGACCCTAATTAACCATGCAAGTCTACGGACTTGGCGCACTCTAATTAACCATGCAAGTCTCCGGACTTGGCGCACCCTAATTAACCATGCAAGTCTACGGACTTGGTGCACCCTCATTCGCTGTACGCTAGCCAAGCACGAGCGTTCAAACATTCACTGGCCGCGATCACTTGTATGTAACTATTGGACACTGTATCAATATCGTCCTGCTGTGGTCAGATAAAGTGTGTAGAGGTTGATTGGCATTCCAGATATTTCAACTCCACTTTGTCTCCAATAACTGACAGAATTCTCCCAACATAGTATTTCCTATCATAGTAGACAGCCTAATACTCATTATCTTTTATGTTTTTCTGCAAATCTTCTTACCCTTTTGATATTCTGTCCATATGTTCTTCATTGTTGGATTCTTCACCATGGACTTCATTAGGTTGAATGCCATCTTCAATCTCATTTGGTATGTAGCTTCCCGCATGTCAGTGCAACTTGCACTAGACAAGATTTCACAGAGCAATGGTTTCAGATTTTCTTCATTGAAGACCATTGCCATGTATTTCTGCCACCTTCGGGGTGTTCACCTTGATCCTGATCTACGGCTCAGTGTGTCAGAGACCGGTTTCCTGGGCATTATCTTCGACAACCTGCTTTCGTGGCAGCCACATATTCGTTACCTCAAAGAGTCTTGCCAGTGTGTTCTCAAGTTATTAAGTCTTGGGGCACATGTTGTGGGGTGTTGACCGAGGAACTCTGCTACACCTTTACCACATGCTAGTTAGACCAAAACTGGATTATTGGTGTGAGGTGTACTCAGCCACGGAAGCTCGACTTAATACACGGAACTCTGTTCATCATGCTGGGATGCGCCTGGCGACTGGTGCCTTCAGGTCTTCACCAATCCTAAGCCTACTAGTTGATGCTGATGAGCCACCCCTTGATTTTCAACATCAGTATCTCCAGGTCCAGTGATGGTTTCAAGGCGAAACTGCCTTCCGCAGTTTGTAACCGTCACTTGTATAGTGGATGAGACTATGTCCCCACACTACACTCCGCATCCAAGCCTCCCACGACCTTTTTACTTCAGGGTAAGGGAGGTTGTGAGTATTCCTTATCTTCCTCCTGTTTAGATATGTCCCATGCAGTTCCCTAGTGCCACTCCGTGGATTCTCCCTAAAGTTCAAGTTTGTCAGTATTTTAACGAAAGGAAGAACTTAGTCCCTCCAGGTGTGGTTCATTCCTTTTTAGAGCATGCCTCTTCTCACAGAGGGACTATCTCTGTTTACATCGACGGTCTAAGTCTGATGCAGGGGTGGGTTTTGGGGTAGTCTTTCCCGAATTCTGTTGGGATGGTAGTCTCCCCACTATGGCATCTACTAGGCAGAGATTTCAGATTATTTTACTTGACCTCAAGATTATTTTTACCCAACCTCCTAATGACTTTACAATGTTTAGCAATTCACATAGTGCTCTCCATGCCCTAGTTAGTGTCTCATTGCCCCATCTCTTAGTTACAGATATTTTACAGTGGCCGGAAAGTCGGTTTTCGCTGGGTTTTGCCCCATTTGAACGAGAAGGGGAAAGGGTGTTTTGATGCTGTGGTGAAAACAGCTACGGTACTTCTCGCCCTGTGGCACATCATTCCCCTCTACCTACTTCTGACATGATGCCTGTATTAAGAGCTGCCATCTGCTTGAGTCAGCAATGTAGGTGGGTTGTTGTACACACCGTGCCATATTTCACATCCATACTGGAGCATTAATGCTATAAAAGTTGTAAAAAAATAATTAAAATAGTCTGTGGCTTAGAAATAAAGCTGATATAATATAAAACTATAAAATAAGAAAAAAATAAGGACATGGGTGTGTGTGTGTGGGTGGGTGGGTGGAAAGTGTGCCACCTGGGGAGTCCTTCCTCCTTTCGCCTCCAACCTTCCCTCCCTCAATGTAACGTCACATACACAATCATTTATATAGAAGTTTGGTGTTAATACAGTAAAACAAAAAATAGAGTACAGTAGAATCTCAAGTTTAGAGAGTTTTAGATTCGCGATTCATATGTTTTGCGTCACTTAAAATTTCCCGCCTCTCAAGAATAGCGATTTTCATTCCCAGTTTCGCAAGTCATTGGAGAGTGGGCAGCTCGCATTATCACGGTCTTTTGTTATCCGCCGAGTGTTATTTGTTTATGGCAGTTGCTGTAGTTTGAATGAGCGAGCGGTGTAGTGACCTTGGATTATTTAACACATTGTGCTTACATTTCGCGAGATTCTTGTGTAACTATTAACAATTTTTTATTTTAGCGATTCTTGTTTATTAACGATTTTTGTGTATTAACGATTCTTGTGTATTAACGATGAATGAAGTGCATAATGTAAATGTCGGGAGCAGTTCTAGTGGTATTGATGGCTGCAGAGAAGGTCGACAAGGAAAGCCCCAAGACAAATGTGACTACTGTAAGGGGGTCAAGAAGAGGAAATACTCTTTGAAATGAAATGAGAGATGCTTGAAATGATCAAAAGTGGTGCACGTACCTGTGAAATCATGCATAGGTTCAACTGCCCCAATTCAACCATACATTCCCTTAAGAAGAACAAGGAAACCTTAACTGCTTCTGTGAATGTATTCTCCCAAGATTTTATAGTAACAGGATGTTCTCCGATACTTCACAACGAAACCAACCGCTTATCACAGAATATTCCCTTCACAAGTGGGTGAAAGGAAAAAACCGTGAGCAGGGTGACCTGTCTGGGCCACAGAAAAGGCATCAAGCACGTGTTAGGCTGCGGTTGCACAGAAGAAATGCTTAAACTCTCCACCACCATTCAATGCTTTTGTTGGTTGGTTGGTTGGCTGCTTTTAAGAAGCGTTATGAAGTCAAGTTTGCCCACTACCATGGGGAGAGTGCATTGGCTGATGTCATAGCAGCAGAAAAATATCCACCTGTCTTTCAAGCTCTTGTGAAAGGGTGGTTATTGTCGAGACCAGATCTTCAATTGTGACAAAACTGGCATTCTGGAAATGCTCTCCTAAGAACACTTTCATTGCCAGGGATGAAAAACAGGCAAGGGGTGTAAAGACTTCAAAGGACAGGATTACAGTTTTATTCACAGTTTATGCAAGTGGAGATTTGATGAAACCCCTGGTTGTTAACCTTGCTGCCCGTCCTAGAGCCTACCGTTATGCCAATATGTTACAGCTCAATGTTTATTGGACGTCTAATAAGAAAGCTTGGGTTACAATGTCTTTATGCACTGATTGGTTTGACAAGCACTTTGTTCCTGTCACCCAACAGTACTGCTGGAGGAAGAACATTGACTTCAAAGTGATCCTGGTGATGGATGATGCTCCTGGGCACTCTTAAGTTTCTAATTGGATGCCACCCTAATGTACAGTACAAGTCATCTTCCTTCCTCCTAACACCACATCGCTTCTGCGGCCACTTGACCAGGAATTCATCAGTAATAATAAACTGTTCTACTATCGGTCACTCTATAAAGACTTTCGTCAGCAGACAGACTCATTAGTTGAGTTACAACAAATCGAGGCAGAACTTCCTGACAGTGACCAGGCTCTACCAGGAGGATGAGGACCAGGAGATGATAGATGACTCGACTCCTTGCACCTCACCACCCTGCAACAGTGAAGTGTTATCAGTTTGTGAACTTTGGAAGAAATGTAATAATAAAAATGCAGTGTACAGAACTGTTGAAGCATGGCGTAAGATTAATATCGCAACAGTGCTACACTCATGGAAGCCTTTGTTCGCTAACTCTGAGGTAAGTGGGGCAGAGCAGACCGAGACAAGTGGGGAGAGGCAGTCCGTGGCGGCAACACTAATGGACACAGTTGAGGCAGCGTGCTCAGTCCCGGCACCAGGATTTTCAGATGTTCAGGTTGAAGATTTGCAAGAAATCATTGGTCAATATCAGCATCAACCAACAATTGAAGAAATGTTGGAGGAGGATGAAGAACAAGAAGAAAAGCAACCAACACAAGAGGATGACGTTAAG